CTATTGAGGTAACAGTGTTACTGGAATAAACATGTTCCATACAAGAATCAAGAAAAACTCATCTCTGGAAATAGACATCTGACATATGTAACATTTCAAGATCCTGTGAAGAGATTTGAGGCATTATGCACAACTTTGATGTGATACCTGCATATTTCTTAGCTCAGCATTTCTCAAAAAGGCTTATCTTTTTAAGACAGATAAAAAAGGAGAGAAAAATGAAGGCATGTTAGATACACCATTCTCAAAAAATGTCATGATAAAGTGTTCACGGGCCAGCTCTCCTGCTGTGATGCTTTATGTAATATATGACCATCACATTTGGCAAGATTTGCACAGGTCTGCCCTTGATTTGTGGAAGGAAAAAGCAGAAAACCTCACAACTATTCCTCATTCCCAAGAATTAATCTGAAGTCTGGTTCCCTGATGTTTCCAATTTTACACTGATCCAAATAACCCCCCAAAACCACACCTGAAGCATCACTCACAATTATTGCTGATAGCTGAGGGAGACCAAAGTGAATTCCCTCCCCAGGATTCCCAGGGCACTCTCCATCACAGCAGCAGCCCTGGAGTGCTGTGAGATGGGGCCACCAGAGACTCAAACTTGACCTGCTGATGCTAGGATATGAACCAGATTTGAGAGGTTTTTATCTGAAAAGATAGTGAAAGTGTCACGAATACACATGATGCTACAGGTCTCGGGAACTATTACACACTACTAAAGCTTCAAAGCAGCTGCAGACTGATGAACTACTTCACACGTACCAGAAAGCACATGGACCCCTGAATGGGTAGAGCTGCAGCCCCTACCTGAGCTGTGTAAAATGGTTGGCACTTCAGCAGATTGCTTCATTTTGCCCTGGATTACCCCCTGAATGGTCCACATGGAGAATTATACTAGCATTCTTACATCTTTTCCAGTTCTTCTGCAAAAGGGATTGAGACTTGGCTTGAGTAAATGTAATTTGACTAGTCTACTGGCTCTTGAAATCTCAGGTGAGCTTATCACAGCTAGCCAACAAATAAAGTCATTACATCAGGCTGGAGAATTTTAGGATATACTTACCCTAACAGCTAGATACATCATTCACAAATGTAACAAACGCATTACAGACACAAGCACTATGAGTTATACATGCCTATAAACATGGAGTGTGTCTACTAAACGTAGTAGAAGGTATTATGAACAGTACAAGAAAAGGTGGCCAGATGCATATGCTTTGCTAAGATGTTAATTCCATATTTATTGAAATATCAATTAATTTTATCTTTAATTGGCAGATGCATAATACTGCCAGAAACTTTTTTTTAAAGTATAATATATAACTCACATCATTGTCTCCCCACAAATCCTGCCTCACTTAAACCCTTAGATCACTACTGTTATAACATTTTATTAACTCTCTATGTATTTATAAACTGAAATTTAATAACAAGAGTGATCAAGTACTCTACACTGTCAGATTATTCATTCAGTCAACTCATATCCCAGTTTGAATTCTGAATATATTCACATCAGTTGAAGAAGGTCAGTTTATATTTTGCTTCCTAGGGAATGTATTGTACTCTTGGGTTGGCAGGAAACAAAATAAATGTACCTATTACATACTGCATTATATGCGTAGTTTTGAACACATGAATAAATACAGTTCAAATCTTGGACACTCACAAACATAGCTGCATACTCAGACCTGCAGAAAGCAGGTGTGTTCCATCCCTGCACCCAGGCATTGGTGACTAAATATTACAGAAGAAAACAATTATCTTATGTCAAATACATTAAATAATTTCATGTGAGCAGGTACAAAATTCTCATATCAAAATCACCCTGAAATGACATCATACAGGCCAATCACAACCATAACTGCAGCCACCAGTGCTCTTGATCATACTTTTTTTTAAAGGAAAAACTTGCATTTTAAGAGATATTTGCTCTATAAACAACTCCATGAAGGAGGAGGGTTTTTTAAACAATTACAAAAAAACTTCCTTTGTACACCAAGGCTAATTGACTGGAGCTTTAGAGTTTGCTTGGCTTTTTAACCAGTCAATTACCTACTTACTAGATTCACGTAAGAACGCAACTTGATGCCCTCACCTAACATTTGTAACTACTTAAACATATAGACCAAATAAACCATATCAGTGAAAATTTTTAAATCAAAAAACTCCCCTATCAGCAGAATAAATGTCCATCAGAGCCATGTTACCTCCACTACTCTTTGTCACACTGTACTTTACTTGCAAGGCTCACTATAGCATTTATGTAGAACAACTAAAAGCTCCCCAGATCTTGGATTGATAGGGAAAGCTCAGGCTTCCAGTATGTGAGGCAGGGACATGTTTCCATTAGATTTAGAAAGTGCAGAACAAGTTTTACTAGGACAATTAATTTTGTGATTTCATTTTCTAAAGCACACGCTAAAGGTCTTCAAATGAGAATAACAATTCCTTTACCTTACAAAAAGAACGGAAAAAAGAAGGCCCAGATACTACCACTACCCCATCCTCCTTAATCTTATGAAAGAAGCAATCCTACAAGGGCACATGCTATCAAGTCTGTTTTGGAAAGGGTCATCAGACGCAGTGAAATGGTATCTGTCTCCTGTACCTGCTAGACCAAAGCAACTCTGTATCTGAATTTGCTGGGGAAAGAAAAAGCTGCCAGATGTTCATCAAGTTTGGCTGCTTTTCTTCACCCCCCAGCCCCATTCACTTTGTTTCCTTAGGGATGTATTTGAACACATCATAGCGCTGTAGAGTCAAACACCACTCTGCAACTGCACAACCCCAGGTATTTTATGGCTCAGCCTGTAAAATCAAACAAGCCATTTTCTTTCACGTGGATTTGCCTCCTCTGTGATCGATGCAGTGACAACCAGTCTAATTCACTAAAGCAGCAAACTGCAAAGAGAAAACACATCCAGCCCTGCATGAAGGCAATGGTTGACATGAAGAAAGGCACGGGAAGAAATAAGCCAAGAAAAGGAGGAAATGTTGTAGGCACAGGAAATGTAACAACTGGTTATGGTAGCAAACTGTTGAGAGCAGCAGGTTACCTGTTGTGCTTACGGCAGGGAAAGCAGGACTAGCTGTTCCTGCATGCCAGCAGCACTGACAACCAACGCTCGCATCCTCCTGTTGTTCTTGCAGCTACAAGAGGAGGAGTTGGGAATGCAAAGCACCTACTGGTAGGCAGAAGCAGCTGGGATCCTCTCTTTTTCACATTCCCAGCAGTGTAGGATGGGCCATAAGACATACACACATATGTTACTGGAAGTAATGTGTTGAAGTACACAGTATTAAAATACTAACATTTCAAGGCTCAGCAACAGAGAAATAATAGTTCTTAGTTAACTGCCTTTCATAGACTGTTCTTAGTGTATAAATGCTTCAGTAGCAAGTGAATAGCATGCCGTGCTATACACCAGACAAGGTCTTTTCCTTCCTAAATGCAGCCTATTCAGCCAGGCTGATACCATTTCTAGACCATTCTCACCGCATGTCTTGAAAGCTCCAACTATAGCAGTTACATCAAAGACCCTAGGAATGACTTCTATTGTCTAGTGATCACACCACTACAACAGATTTCCTACATAATACTGAAAAAATAAAGCTCTCACATATTCTCTTTACTAAACCACATTAATTACAAGTAGCTGCTCAACAATGAAATTTTATTTTGATATATATATATCTTGTCAGACCAAATACTTCACACAGCTTTAATACTATACCATGTGCAGCAGAATGCACGGTGATGCAATCTGTATGTAATAACCAAGGTTACAAAGTATAGGTAACACTACACAGATGCATAAATAATCTATCCTTCCTGAACTTGATTCTGACAAACAGTTTCACCAGCACAAGCCTGAAGAGAGGTGTGGTGTTAATTTCTCCATTTTGCACATAGGAGTACATGAGAAATGCAATACTATATGAAGCATGAGATAGTCAAAATGTATCTACTGGAAAATTTCCAGAAACCCTTTATATTAACCAGATCAAGGCAAAGTTGGTATTTTGCACTGTAAATTAGACTTGCCTGTAAACACTGGGTATGGAGACATTAATGTTGTTGACAGAAATCAGTGCTTCTCTTCGTAGTTTTTCATGGTCACATGTCAGAGAATAATTTTTAAGTCAAGCATCAAACTTGGTTTCTGGTCTTTAGTACAAATCCCTAGTATGTGATGTATCATTCAAGCAAATCAGGTAATTATCCTTCAAATCTCAATGCCCTAACTCAGTAACATACAAACTACAGAAATTCTCCTAGAATAAGGTTCAAAGTCTATCTTAAATAAAAGAGAGATGTAGGAGAATCTTTTCTTTCCAAGTGTAAGAAAAAAGTTGATGATGTAGTAACTGTGCAGTAATGATTATAAGAGGTCTGTCAAATGGAAAAGCTATAGCTGTCTGCAGTGCTCCTCTATGTTACATCTAAGTACATAAGATAAAAACTATCTTCAGTGAGGAGAACACGGCAGAATTATACAATCCAGTGCTTTTGAAAAATTAAATTGCATTTTGCACAGGTAATCACCCAGATATCCAAAAGTTTGCCCCATAAAGAAAGAAAAAATAAAATCACAGCACGCTACTATTTGATATTCAAACATGCTGAACTTTCATAACCACCCTACGGCTTGTGGACACAGCGGTGTGAATAGCACAGAAAAAGAATACAGAAAGGATAACTATCCTTCCATTTTCTGACTGTCCTCAAAACAAGCTATGACTTACTTGCTTTTAAATAAGTAAAATATAGTCCTTGTGAGGAGAGAGCTTCAAATTCTATTGCTTTTATGTCATCCTAAATATTAAATATTTCATGGGTGCAGCTGAAGTCAGTAGTGTATCCACCAGTAGGAAACGAGAGCGCCATCAGCTCTTTATGGGAACAGATTCACTACACATCCTGGAAGACACACTGTGAAACAAAAGTATACTTTCTTTGATGATTTTAAAACACAACTGAAAAACAAACTCACTTGTAAATGTTGAGAGTTGTCAGTCATGTTGTCCTCTCTTCTACGAACTTCTTCCAACAACTGTGCATTCTTCTTTTTCTCCATTTGCTGATTGTGCTTCAGATTAGCAACCTTCTTGTTTTGGTCCTTCATATGTCTAAGAATTGTATACATATATGCGTTAGTGTCAATGATGGCAACTACTTTTTTGTCTATAAATTAACTTGTGATTATGACGCAGGACATCAATTCTCCAACTGATAAAAGCATCCCAAGTGTAAACGAAAATTGATCTTGTTTTCAAACTGGCATACCTAAACGGCTTTAATACCATCATATTACACAATGGTGAAGCACTGTAATTCAGGCCTACAAGATTATTTTGGTTTTAGCATCTGCTCACAAATACCCATGTATGTTCTAAGCACTAAACAAAAAGTTGTTGTAACAGAGGGAGATTATCCAACAATCCTTACATGCTCAGTGAGTTTGGGAGCAATTTTAATGGTTGCTTTCATAAGTAATTGAAGTAGCATTAATTTCTGAGGAAGCACAAGGTGAAGGTGATGACTAATGTATGTTGCAAACTTTATTTTTGAGAACATGGACTATAAATACAACATTTCTGAGGATTAAAGTGTGATGGAGTAAAAGGTCGGGTCACAAATATGCCATGAAGAATAAAGGATGCCTTTACAAATTGCTTTGTGCATAACAAAAACATTGCATTTCTATGTTTTGAATAATGAGACGTCTTTCTCCAAAAGACTGAAAAATTTATTATTAACTTCTAATGAAAATGAAACCATCTTTACCACCTTCATATATTTTCTTTTGTTAAGACTGTACACAAGTAAAAAAATATATTTCAGAATTGTTTCAATTTTTAATTATCTATTGCTGTGGATCTTATTCATTAAATTACCAGAAGCTTTCCTGATCCTGGTAGGTAGCATACATCCTTTTAAGAAAGAAGGAAAGCTAATTTTGCCTGGCAGGAGCTGAAAAAAATATGCTAGCAGTAATGTTTTCTACCTGCCTGGATTCTTAGATATTATTTTCGCGATTTTCTTTGACTTTGAGGAATTTGCTCCCTTTTATCTCTATAAAAATAAAGTCATGTGCAAATTCCTAATGAGATCTACTCCTAATCCTATTTTGGCAAATGAAGAGAATATTTTTCAATGCCCAAATGGATCACTGAAAATGTCCCTGTTGGTTCCACATTAGAACTTTCAGTAGGGAAAAAAAAATAACAACAACAACAAAAGCTATAGAATCCATTTCTTGCACTGATTTTATTATGCTGAAGAAACTGGGTCATTTTATATTTACTTCTATCACTTTTCTTTGTCCGACCAATGTTTTTTCCACTCCTTATTAATACTGAAAAATTAAAAATTAATCTCTAATCCACACATGTTGCCACAGTATTAAAAATTCCTAGAAGACACTTCATATGCAAGTTTGTAGGTACAGTACATAACATAAGAGCTATCCATTATTACTTCAACTTGCCTAGATAGATAAAACTGGGTACAACTAATTTGAATAAAAATATTTGGCTTTCAAAAGAATCTACATCATGGTCACCGATAATTTTTTAGAAAGACAAGTATGAATTTCTCCATTTGAAAAACAGATTTATCCTATAGTTCTGTTCAAGTGTTTGCATCAGCCTGTTAAGGCACAAAAAGACAGATTTCCCTAACTTATCATCTCCTTAATGAATTCCTTTTATACTCTATTTTTAATGTTAATCATAAGATTCATTAAGACTACACATACTACAGTAAAGCTGAAAGAAACCCCAACAAGAGACTGTTACCAGAAAATAATAAATCAAAAGCCATCCTTCTTAAATTTATTTAGTTTTAGTATAATCATTTTTTTATTACACAAAACAGTGAGTTTTACACAAAACAATGAGACCTGTGCTTCTCCAGGCTGAACCAGCTGCAGAGAGGTTAGCATTTTGCAGTGTTAGAGACTTTGAGACCATATCTTCCATAAACGTCCTCAGATCTCATTTCCAGTATGCAGATATGGTTCTGATAAACTGCACCCCTAAGACTCTCTCCCCTTTAGACACACCTTAGCAAAATGACGAGACCCCTAGGAAACACCTTCTGTCACAGCTCAAAGAGACCACTAGTGCAGAACTCTACTGTCTCTTGGTAGATTCCTGGCATCACGCTTAAATCCCCAAACGAAGTTCACTTGTGAACAAAACATACACTACACGATGGTCAGAAGAAACCTGCCTACATGAGATCTACCCTCACTAGGCCTGGGAGTATGCATAAATCGCCCATATTTTATCACAGAGTTTTAAGAAAGGTTAATTTTTCAAACAAAACCACACTGCCACAGCTAACCAACAATAAACCAGCAACATGACAGTGCTAAATACAGCAGAGAGATTTCTGTCAAAGTTACACTGACAGACCAATAAAATGCAACCAGAAATTGCATGTTCCGGTTTAAACTTGTTTCTAGGTCTTAAAGAATATAATGGGTTTAGCCACTGAGTTCTCTATTTTTCAGTAAAGCTCCTCAAGAATTTGAGAGTGATTTTCTTTGATTTCTAAATCAAATATAACATATATTCAAATACACGTGAGATAGTCTGTGTGACTCCAAGTGAAAATCAGTCCTCTTTGATGGGTCCATGCTGTGCAATTGTAAGCATAGACCTAATCAGCATAAAACCAAAATGAATATTAGAAAAAATTAGTTTCAGAACTCTATATCTAAATGTGGTATTTGGCAGAAATATAGGCAGTGTCATATGACATTGAGCTGTTAAAATATATAATGGTTTCCAATCTAATGCTGAGTAAATGATAAATTAATTTATATTTAATCTCCAAGAAGTTCAATTTTATGCCAATGCTAACTGCTTCTTTCATCACCCTTCCCTCTCACAACTTCCCATTTCAGTTTCTGTGTAATGCCACACTGAAAAGCAGAACATGGTAAAGCTGCAAAGAAAAACATCTGGTGCATGTGATATGCAAAATCTTGAAGAGAAGGAAATAAAAGAAAGCTGTGCCGTAGCCTTCCCTCTTCCACAACTGACTACATGCCTGTGGAAATGAAAAGAAAACGCTACTGTTAAAAAGCCTAGCTGAGTTGTTTTCTTTTAGGCCTGCATTAAAGGTACAGGAGGAGTTCAATACAGGAAATAAATACAAGAACACATTTCCTACTTTTTTTTTTTTTTTTAAACAACAAACATATCAAATACAGCCCTTGATCCAGTATAATTTTTTGAGCATGCTTGCTCTGGTATATTTTCACATAGCTCTGTTTCTAAAACGCTACAGTAGACTGTAGCTATGCTGCTCCAGTAAAAACCAGGCAGCTGTAATTCCCCATTCTTCTTCCTAAATCTTCCTGACCTGGGATAATTTTCAATAATCTTTCTCAACACACAGTATGCACCATAGCCATCCAGCAACTTTTTCAGAAAAATAGCCTTAGATGACCGCCCAGGAATCAATAGACTGTGGCAGCCCAGATTTCTGACCCTGCTGAAGAACCACCAAACAATAACTGCTAAATACTTAGGTATGCTTTGACTACCATAGATCCAAACAAGACGTGAAGGGAAAAGCCAAAAAATTCGTACACAGCCCTGTAGCTTTGTCTCCTATGAGGCCAGACCAAAGGACCTAGAACCCCTTAATCCTGTCGTGCAAACAGCAAGATGCCCCGACATCAGTTAGACTAATTACACTAACATTCTATTTAGTTTTATTAATTGAAATGTCTTTGTTAAAAAATAGACATCAGTGTCATGGAGACCCAGACCCTTGATCAGCAGACAGACAAATATAAAAACAGTAGTAGCTCTATAGTTCTAGCTAGCATGACTATCATTAATTGTAATGACTGCATTTAACCATGGCCGTTTGTGGTTTTTTCATGTTCTTCTGGACAAGCATAAAGTATATTTAATCCCTTCGGTCCAACTTTTTAAGACAAATATTTAACATTCAGTTTCTGCATATGTGTGAGCATCTTTCAGATTTCATTTTGTAGTAGCGTGTAACTGTTGTCTAAATTCCAATGCTTTCAACTCCGATAGGTATAGAAAATCACGTTATTTGATTAAATTCCTGGCTTTAATTAGACACCTGGGTACCTTGGCTGAAAAATTTCATAATGTCAGCCAAAACTAAGTGTTACATACTTAGTATAGCCTTTACTCTGTTTCATTAAGACTTTTTTTCCTCCAAGCATCCAAAAAATGCAGACATGCAAAATACTCCTAAGAGCACAAACTTAACATTTTCTAAAGGAATACATCTCTCTAATAATTTTCATTATATTAAACAGCATTGCAATGTGACAAGCTGTGTGAAAGTCAATCAAAAAATTCTCCAGTAAGCTAGGAACCTGTACTACTCAACCAATTGATAAAAGAAATAGAGTACAATAAACGTACCAAAGAATGCTTTCAGGGAAAAAAATATTTTATGAAATACAACAGTTTAGTCAAAACAACTAATTTCGATAAAAAGTCTCAAAAATACAATTTTGAAGTTTAATCCAGTACACATATTTTAAATAAACAGCATCTTCACCTATTGTTCTAGGCATGCACTGGGTAGAATATTACCAACATCAACATGTTAAGCAGGTCAGCTCTTCCTCCTTTATGAAGAGTCTACACCTTCACAAAAAATTCATGTATGTGAGCAATAAAACGAACGTTAACATTTTACTAAGCACTCCAGATCTCAGTAGCTAGTCACGCAGAAGACCTGATCCTGTAAATCCTGTCCATGTGAATGCCCATGCTACACTACATTACTTCAGTAATACTCAGTAGAAATATTTCCAACAGTTCAGTTCTCACTGTCTTTAAAATGAGGGTATGAATAGGTTCCGATTTGCCTTTTTAAATCAGGACTAAAACAACCGCATAAAGGGTAATCCTTTATAATTCAGATCCAATTCAATGGACATTCTAGCTTATGGATTTCAGTGAAGATTTGAGTGAAGTTAGGTATTGTTCCTGGCATTTTCATGGAATAAAAATTTATTTGCTACTACCAATCTACAGAACTGAAAACCGAAGATGGGTTAAACTCCAGTGAAGTGTAAACATCCCAAGAGACATTAAGAGGGTTACTGACAGACACATTC